TGATGCGGAACCGGGTGACCATTCTGGGTATTTAACCAGTTGGATTATTAGGGAGTGATACTTTTTTTTCAGTCTGAGCACTCCCTGCTGCTCCTGACTCACGAAGTTGGGCCCTAAAATATTAAACATTACTGGAACTGTCACCACAGAGAACTTGCTGCAGAGGAAACCTTGCTAACAAGTGTGTTTTCTTGACTAATGTGAACAGAAATGTATTAATGCTAGTTGTTTTCCTTTGTTTTCTGTATTGTGGTATGTACCCATATGTTAAGGATATATTTATACAGTAAAATGCTGAGCTGTGTGCTCTTAGTACACTAGTTCCGGTAGCAGGAGCAATGTTGCAGTGTTAATGTAATATTGTCTGGATTCATTTACCTTTTTTCTCGGGACCTCCTGTGTATGGCAGTGTACTGTCGGATAAGTAATAATCTCTATCCTGGAGAGCTTGCAGAATATATAGGGAAGATGGACAAAAGGTGGGAGAAGGGAAGTGCATTTCCATCTTCCAGGTAGAGCGCTAAAATGCAGAGAAGTAATTTGCGAAGGATGACAGAGCATCTGTGTTTAGAGCTGAGAGATTGGAGTTCAGTTCCCAGTTCTAACCAAAACATCTTGTAGGCTATTGCCTGTGTATTTTAATAGATCAGTTCTATACAGTAGGAATTTTAAGTGGGGGGGGGGGGAAATTCTGGTCCAGGAAATGGCCAATCATAATTAGAGACATGTCAAAGTGGATGAAAAATGTTTTTTTTGGTATGAAGATTTTGAAATCAGTGGGGAACTGAAAACCCTCAGCACCTTAGGAGGATGCCAGTCAAGTCTCTATTCTCCTTCATTTTGACTAAAACAGAAATGTAAAATTTGTTTGTTATTTAAATATATGAAGACTACTGAGGAGTGAAAGGAGAAAAGGACAGTTGATTGAATTTGTTTCACCATAAATCAGATTTCATTTGAAGCAAAGTTTAGAAGACAGACATATTGATTCTAAAGCTTAAGGTAATAAAAACTCATGCTGCTGTCCCAGGATTAAAGGTTAGCCAATCATGCTGGTTTTATTATATTAATTCAACAATGAAGTATTGTTTTAAAGCAGCTTGCTCACAAGCCATTTTGATAGGAATCCAAAGCATGTTTCAGAAACTGTCAACAGCATTCCACAGAAACACAATGGACGTTTGTTTTTAAAATTCAGTCAGCCACTTTCAAACAGTACTAATCCCATTAATTTAAAACAGGAAGATGGAATATCTTATATGTCAGAGATCCTTCTTGTCCATCTTAATTATATACAGAATAAAGCAGTTGTGATTTGAATGTGGCACATCATATTACTAGGCAGCATGTGGTGTATTACCCAACTGTTCATTCATGATTGCAATTGTTGGCATATCCTGTATCTATTTGACCTTAACAACCTGATAAGTTACCAAAAATTGAGTGTTGTCAGACAGTAAGTAAGTGCCTACCTATGAAAGAGTTTGAGGAACTTTCAAGCTGAAACAAATATATCCTTGAATAGGAATCTGAGTGCTGAGTCACATAAGTAATTTTCTTACGCAAATGCAGTTCTAGTTTGCACAAAAACTGAAATGTGGAGAAAGGAAAACAGACATGCTCGCATCTTTAAAGACCACTTTAGAACCTTGATATCTTTGTGCACAAAACTGGAAGTAAAATAGAACACTGTTACAGGTGTTTCGTGCAAGTTTCTGTTCTTGCAGGGGATGCTCAAGGTCACTTCTGATCATTAAAATGTTTGTTCATTCCTCATTCACAAGGTTAATGTCTTCTAGCAAAGATGATGGGTGATGATAAAAAGGGAAAACCAATTGCATTATAAAAGAATGTATTTTCTACTAGATGCTTGACTTTTTTGTGAAGATGGCTGTTGTTTTTAATTTTGTGAAGCACAGCTGCAGTTACTTCTATGATGCTATGAAATATTCAGTTAAATTAGAGGTCAGAGAAGTGTGTTTACGAACTGTACTTCTTGAAGTAAATAAGGAAATACTAAAATGAAATATCTTTTTATCTCTAAGTTTGGGGCTTTTTTGTTTTGTTATTTTCAAGTTACAGTTTTTAAAATCATTGATAGTCCCGGAATTTAATAAATTGTCTGATGTATGACATATGGTATTAATTATCCAGAGATTTTGTGAATAAAGAGAGCCTGGTGACTGGCTGAGCAGAACAGCTGTTCTAGACTGTTAATGCCTAGGATTAGGGTGAACGAGAGGGAAGCCGAGACAAGAATGGAGCTGGTTACGTTTCTTCTCTGCAAGGCTGATTAGTACCAAGAAGCTTGCCTGTCTGCCCATGTCATGATGTGGGTCTGGGTAGAGGAATACTACCAATAATAAATTCTGCTTCTGTAAGGATCACAAACAGTGAACAGTATGAAAGGTGTACCCAAAAGCTGCTTCTATGCTGCAGAGAGTTACGGTGGGGATGGGAATTTTGACAGTGTTGTCAGCAATACTGCTATACTGCTGGTAGCATGTGTAGGAGTCTTTAGAGCTCTGTGCCCCTTATGTCTTTAAGACTGGATCAACTAGAATTGCTTGTGGAGTCTCTGCCTTTGGTACGGCCCCAGTAGTTTAGCTGAGGTGGTTTTAAAGCCAACAGAAGTATTTTTCCATGAAACTTCCTGATGTCAGCAAAAGCCATCCACTGGGCACTGTGTATGTGTTAGATAGCTTGACATTTTTGCCAAGGATTAAGTAGTAAGTATTTTAATGGAGACTTCAACGTCCTTTTTCCTCTTTGCATGTCTGTTACAGGAAATGGTGTCTCTTACCTCCTTCCCTTCTGTCCTCTAACTATGCTTCTGCCTGAAGCAGGACAGCAGAGATGTTAGTATTATTTTCTGTATCCAGTATTAATATTCTCTTTTTCCACAGAATTGACCAAAAAATGTCTGGAGGCCAGAGCGGGTATGAACTATGTGAGGCCAAAGCCATCCTGAGTGAACTGAAGTCCATCAGAAAGGCGATAAGTTCAGGGGAGAGAGAAAAACAAGATTTAATGAAGGTATTTTGAACAGTTGACGTGAGTTTTGTGTGGATTTGTTTTAACATGAGTAACTTTCCTGATTATAAATACTTTGCATTTTATACTTTTTATGGGATTTTCAAAACTCTTTGAGCCAAACTAGTATTAAAATAAATTTTCAGATGCAGAAACTGAAGCCTGTGACTCTCCTAATTCAAAAAGCCACTATATGTCAGTCAGAGAATGTAGATTTCTGAACTTGTATGTAAGGTACAATGCAGATGTTACCTCTAAACCACAATTTAAAAATATTAAGTGGACAAAATTGAGATGCGTTTTTGACATGCATGACCATTTTCTAACTTGGTGAAAGTTTTCCAGATCTAAATTGCCCTATTTCCTTTTCTGAAAGATCTTTTTTTTTTTTTAATCAGCCAAGTATTTAAGTCAGACATAAGTTTAAAACAAACAAACAAACAAACAAAAAAAAACCCAAAAGAGAGACAAAACCACATGAATAGTTTTTTATATTGTCACAGGTGTTGGTCACCCTTAGTGTCGCCTACCAACTACTTCGTTAGAAGGATAGTTTGCTTAATATGAAGTAAACCCAGAATTTTTATATTGGAGCCTTTTATGTAAACATCTTTTGGAGATAAACTGGTATAAACACGGTAAAGTACAAAGGAACTTTAACACCACCTCCTTCTGTTTCCTGGACAGAGTCTTGCAAAGCTGAGAGAGAAATTCAATCTTGACCAGACCGTTGGGAAATCTGAACCAGACTTGAGTTCCAGCTCTGTAAACTCCCAGCTGTGTTTTTCTAGACAAACTCTGGATACAGGGTCTCAGACTGACATTTCTGGTGAGGTGAGCTTTTTTCCATTTTGTCAAATATAAAGAGAAATTGAATCAGAATGCTGCAGTTAATGGAATTGGAATGAAATGGTTGTTTACTGTTCCTGATAGATGTGTGTGTATATATACACATGTTTAAGAGAGAATTACTTGGAATCAGTTACCTGATTTTTTCCCCCTTAAATTTTAAGTCAAGATTCAGATGAACTTTATATATTTGGCATGAAGCATTTATGACAATTTGATTTAATCAAATAGTTCCAGTACAGTGAAGATCAGCATAAGTAGATAGTATTTTTTGCATCTGTCTATAGGATATGTTTCACCTTACAGAATTAATTCAATATGAAGATGTTTTTAATTTTCAGAAACAAGATCTCAGAATTTAAATGTGCAATTTAATTTCATGCGGCTGAAAAACTGTTAGTGGAACTACTTGTTCAGTGATTCATTAAAACCTTCTCTGTCTCACTGACAGTATATTTACATATACAGAAAGCTGTGCTTAATTTTGGTACCTTCTTTGAAGTTCTGTGAGCTAAGTTTATAAGGAAGAGACTGTACAAGGCTTTCCAAACAACTAAGCTTGTCTATGTTTTGTAGCAAATTTATTGAAGTCTTACTTTGAAATGCACTGACTTAGTTCTAAATTCTGAGTTCAGCAGAGTTCAAAGTAGGAGGTCAAAATTTTGGGTGCAATCACTGCAAGATTTTTTTGAAAATGCTCTTGCTCTGATGGAATATGGACAATTGGTAGTACAGTAGGTATAAACAGATGAACTGGATCAGAAGAAAACGGCACTGTTTTGTACATCTGAGTAGATTTCTAACTAGGCATTTAACAGCAAGTATGTGGCTGCAGATGGGTGTGGTTTTATTTTTTTAAGTCATCATTTTTCTAGCCTGTGCATAGGTTTTGTTAATTCATTTAACAGCTTTACACAGTAATAAGGCTAATATTTTTTTTCTTTTTTGCTCAACAGGTTGGAGCAAGTAGAAGATCACATTTAGCAGAGAAGGTCAGACTAAGTCTTCAATATGAAGAGGCAAAAAGAAGGTAAGAGGGTTAGTTGCTTTGTTAAGTTACAGTCTCGAGTAGGGAAGGTGTCTGATCTCTGCAGCACTTAAACATTGTGCTCGCAGTGACATCTAGTGGACGGCTCTCTGGAGGCACTGGGGGCATTACTGCAAAGTGTTTCTTTTCCTTCAGAATGCAAGCAGGCTTTCAGGAGCAGTCGGTGCTTCTGAACAGTAGGTTTTACATTTAATGCTAAGTTGAATGTGTTAAGAAAGAAAATGCAGACGGTGACAAATTAATGGCAGGTCCAGGATTAAGGGAAGAGAGTGAGCTGGCTTTCCACTGAAAGGGGTTGCCAGGTTATTTATGTCCATTATATCCTTCTTTGGGATCATCATTTCAGTTTACTATGCCACTGAAGGCTCTTCAGTTTTAGAGTTGCTTCGGACTTCCAGTGCAGATTTAGTAGGCTTAATTATGTCTTTTTTCCCTGGGACTTTGGATAATTTAAATACTTGTTATCACTATGAGGTTGGGCTTTTTTAATGGGTTTAACCTGAGGAGAAAAGAAATCGGGAACTTCTCCACTGATGAATGTGGAACGCCTTTCAAATAAAGTTCTGCAGTGGTTGCTCGTGAAAGCAGTGCCATTTTGATGAATTGCCACAGCACTGAAGGATGGGCATCAGAAAGCAGAACGTTCGGGGTTAGAATGACATGCCTTCTGGTGCACCAGAAGTGCTGCATAATACTGGGGGAAGATTTACTATTTAAAAAAAACAAAAAAAGTGTGTGTGGCATCTCTCTATTAATAATGTATTAATTATGTTATATTATTTTATAATACTTTTCACAAAATTAGGTGTCAGCTATTCAGAAACCTTATAGTTTTTGTTATGGAGGTGCTTCGTAATTTAAGGGGAGTAGAAACCTAAAAAGTTATCCCGCACCCAAGGTTCCTTTTTTACTATGAAGAACTAAACAAGGCAATAAAATAAAAAACCAGCACTTTTCCCCAGATGAAAACTGTGCCTAAAATGCCATTTAATCTGAGATTTAAGTGTTATTTCAGTTGGAATACTGTGGCATGGTCAATTAGAAAACTAGGAAAAGAAATTTGCAGCTTATAAATACAAAGTAAAGGCACAGTTAGTTTTTATGTTTTAAAGGCAGGAGGCTGCACAACCAACACTTTTTTTGCCTAATTTCAAATATATACCCTCCTCATACAGAGTAGTAGCTACCATCCTTGCCGGTAACAACAGTAATCCTTTATATCCTCATTACAGAGCATAAAACTTTATTATATAATCAGTGCATTCAACAAAGAGTGCTAAGGCTATTGTGTTTGTTTAGTATTGAACATGTATGATTTTGGCTCAGAATCATGTACATAATATTAACTGTCAGATGGTGTTTTAGGTGCAGATAGATGGCATTTTTTCTCAGGCGTAATTGATCCAAAACCACATCATCCTCTGTTTTGACTATGTCTTGATACCAAGAAGTCCCAGCATTATGTTTTCTCTCTCCTTTATAGGAATAAAAAAATTCCTGGCAGTAAGTTTACCACTTCTACCTTAAAAAGGTTAAAAAAAAAAAAAAAAAAAGAAGAAGAAAAAAAGTACAGTGTTCAGAGTATAGAGTACTGCAGCACAAGATCTTACTTTCTCACAAAGTAGCCAAGAACGTGGGTCGAAATTTCAGTAGCTCGTGTACTTACCTTTGCATAACAAAGCATTTGTTCTATATAACATTAGTGTGTTTCAAGGTTAAATTATCTCCTTTTAAATGGTATCTTTATTCAATTTTGTCTGAAAACTGCCCAGTAATGAATATTCTTTTAAGCTTTAAATAAGACAATCATATGCCTTGAAGACACCGTTAAAGTCTTTAAAGTGTTTGCACATACTGGTTTTATCAGTGACTACAAGGTGAACTTAATGAAGTGTACATATCTTGGAATAATGAAGATACATACCAGTTTGCACATAAAGTTCAGTACCTAATTACATCCCCCCCTAATTATTATGGCCATTGTAATCATCACTATAATTTAGTAAGTATTGACCACCTTTTCTGAAATATTAAATGTGCAAATTCTTAGTTGTTTTGTGTTAAAACAACTAAGAGAAAGAGAGGATCTTGTAAGTGTACTTCTCCACTTGAAAATTGTCAGATAATTTTGTATGTTGCATATTTTATGTTGCTTAGCCAGCAGAATGTCTTGAAGAGGCGGAATGTTGATGTTAACTATGCTAAATTCAGGTGCAATTGTTATTCAAAAGGATCTGATATAGCATGCTGACAGTCCTATCCTGATGTGGTGAAGATCTGGCTAATACTCCTTGTTGACCTGTTGAGCAAGGACTTCCTCAAAAGCGTGAGACCAGTTCGGTTTTCATATCCATCTAGGCCTTTGCCTGTCTGATGAGGCAGCTGAAAAGAGCATCAGTTACGGTAGCAGAGCGTTGTCTGTAGCAGGGGGAGCAAAAGAACTGTTTGGAGACCACCATCCCATAAGCCATCAAACAGCTGTCAGTAGCAGCTACTTTCAGAACAAGGTTGGCTAGAACCAGTGACCTGGAGATGAAAATCTTAACATTTCATTATCCACCTGAAATTACCAGGTTGTTTTCCCTCTGAGTACTGCTCCTCTAAAGGACTGTTTAATATGAATGATATATGTAACAGCTGCAAAATATGTTGAAATGCTTCATTTAATTTCACTGCTGATAGTATTTCTGTTTATTTTGCATTGTTTTTCTGTGAAAATACCCTGAGTCAAACTTGTTCTTGCAGGGGTTTGGTGGGAATATGGGTTGTTTTCATTTTTTTTTAAGCTGTTGTTTTTTCATTGAGGTGCAGATGAGAAGGAATTGTTACCTATGGGAAAAGAAAGGGGGGGAGTTCCCCTTAAGCTTCTAGTATAAGCAATGGGATAGTTAGATTCATTAACTATTCTTAGTTTTGACCATAAATAAATGCCTTAATGTACTGTAAAATTAATACCAGAGATGCAAAATAAGCATGATATTATTAGTTTTGTTAATCACAGAAAACAAACTGGAAAGAAGAAAAACGTTTTCCCAGAAATCTGTCGTAACTACAGGAAGATTATATATGCCAAATTATCTGTGTGTATTTATGAAGTATGGCATGGGTCATTACCTTAGGTAGTGCCTGGTAACATTGAAGTTGCACAGACTTGTATCAGTTGTTGAGCTGACCTAGGTTTATTTAACTGTGGCAGTTACAAATAAATAAAAGTAGCAGGTCAGTTCCTCTTGCCCTAGGTTGTATGGGAGCATCTTTCTATTTTGACTTCTCCTTTCTCTGCCTTTTTCCCAGCCTACAAGAAAGAGGTGCAGGTGGCTAGAAGCTGTTAAATAGTTCAAAGCTTCCATATCTGTAGCTATGCAGCTGGTTCAGGTGTGGCTAGGGCTGGAAGTGACTGAAAGTTACCATCTTATTAGATACGTGGCACCAATAAAGGGAATTTTTAAGCTTTCCCAGTGGACAGTGAGTCTTTATTGCAAAACCTGCACTTTTTAAGCTATGCTGCTTAGCCCATAGACAGAATGATTATGGAGACTGAATACTGGAAATAACCTGTCTTGATCAGGACTGAGCTATAGTACAATAATAATGTAGGGAAGTTTCTGCTTCCATTATATGCGTGTATCTGCGCAATAAGTATGGATAACCAAGTCTTGGGTGTCTTAACTCTGTGATTTGACAACTGTGATGGCAACAGCAGTTGCACAAACTCAAATTTTTGCGTTAATAATCTCCTTTCTCTTTAGGTAGCTGCTGTCCTGATACCTTTTATTTTAATCCCATAGAAAAACAATGCTTTTGCCTTCTAAGATTTGCATACGTGCATGCTGCTGAAGTGAGCACCTTGCTATGGTGCGCATTCTTTCACCGTGGTTGTTGCTCTTTCTGAGGAGCAGTCGGCTTCCAACAGCTTAGGAGAAATCCATCACACCCCTAGATGAGTAAAGCATAGTGCCACTACTATGTTACCAGACAGATAACTTTCAATAAAGCTTTTATTAACGTTGTGACTTTTACTTCAACTCGACATTTGAACAGGAACAACTCATTTTTAAAGCATACGCATATTGCTGTTGGCCTGGATAGGTGGCTTGCTCTTCTGGCATAGTCTGCATTCTTGTGACGCAAAACTAATTAAAAGTATGGCTTTGAGTAGAAAATGTTGTTATATGCTGATACCTTTCAAAATATTGTATCACTTTTCTTCTTCCTGGAATTTGTGTGCTATGCTGGGCTCAGGCAAATCTGCTGTGTTTTACTTCAGCATGGCTAACCTGAAGATCGAACTCTCGAAGCTAGATAGTGAAGCCTGGCCTGGGGCACTGGATGTGGAAAAGGAAAAACTGATGTTAATCAATGAAAAAGAAGAGCTTTTAAAGGAACTGCAGTTTATCACACCACGCAAACGTACTCAAGATGAGCTAGAGCAGCTAGAAGCAGAAAGGAAGAGGCTTGAAGAAGAGCTGCTGTCTGTAAAAAGCACACCCAGTCAAGCACTTGCTGAAAGGTAAGGGGTTGTCATTTGCTAATATTAAATGCTGCTTTTCTGCAGTCTAACCTTTGTAGTCATTACAGATCCTGAACTATGCCTTGATGGGCTGTTTTCCTTCAGTAACTGTTCTATATAGATCTTAATTAAATTTGTTATTAGCCCACTGGGCAGAAACACAAAGAAGTCTCCTGTACTGTAGGAGAATGCAAACACCCTGTATGTGCTCTGCAATATCAGTTGCTCTGCGTTTGTTACCAGCATGAAAATGCCTGTGACAGATGTTAAATAACTGAGGAATGTCAACGTACCAGCAGGAGGGCAATACATCATTCACTCATTTCTGATAATAGCTGTAAACTATTTGAACTCAGGTTACAAAGATTATCTTGATTGTTAGAACATCTGAAGCCTTTCATTGTGAGTTTTATTACCTACAAAAATGCAACCAAAAGGGGAAGAAAAAAAAAGTTCAGAGGAGAAGTACAATTGTTGCAAAAGTTTCCTAACTTGCTGCTACCTAACTGGTAACCGAAGCAACTCCCACAATAAATTGTTTTAGCCAGATGCAGAGTTCGAGAAAATCAAAGGTGACTGTCACAAATAGACTTTTCATCAACTGTAAGTGGAAATAAATTTATGGGCACCTCTAGCACACATAAAATGCAATAAACACAAAATGTCATTGCATTTATCAGTGTAGTATGCCTTATTGAAGTAATACAATCAGCACTGTAAGCCTTTCCTACTTCCCTCTGCTAGGAAACGTGCTGTTGCTCCAGTTTCACTGAATGCCAGAATTCCTGTTTAGTGGCATTAGAAGTTGGGTCCCAAATTGTAGCTGAGTAGTGAGGAAATTTTTTGTTTACAAAGTACGTATGTGTGTATTAGGCATGATTTTTAAACATTTTTGTACACTTTATAATAGTTTAAACTGCATTATATTGATAATCTCAACATGTTTTAGAAGAAGGGTTATGTCCTACTGGAATGATATTTTTACAGGAGAAATTGCCTGTCTGTGTTAGTAGTATCTAGATTACCATGGATCTGTCAATAATAGAAGTCAATAATAAAATCACATTGACAAACAAATAATTTGAATCTAAGGTTCTGATAATATGCTGTTGTAAGTAATAGCTAAATCTTGACTCATGCTGTAAAATGGTAGCTGGTTTCTTAGTCTTGTGTTTTGGATTTGCTTGTTTAGTGCCAAAGAAAATTCTGCACCTGACCATTTTCCCCATATATGTCAGATGACAAACTTGGAGTACTAAGGGCAAGTCAAATTGTCTCCCACTGTCAAGAAGAAATGAAACTGCAGATTTTTTTCCATGTATAGTGACACAACTACTTGTTACAGCTTAAAATTTTTTCCCCTCTACTGTCTTCAAATTTTTTTCCCTTTGACTTTCATTCCTGAAAATGTGGAATTTTTTCTTGAGGTTACTGTAAGATTTCATGTCATACACTGCTGGTTGAGGTAGTATTTATGGTGGCTTCTGGTTTGCTTTTTTGCCATTCCAGTGAATCTCCAGTGAATTTCTACCTGCAAGTCTGATATTAAAACTGTCTCACTTGACTTCAGAGCACAAAAATTCTTTCACATTAAGCTATTTTGAGGATTATTTCTGGTGTGTCTGCTATAAACATAAAGAAAATTTTCATTTTGTAGAAGGATTCAGATGGTGAAACTTCTCCTGAAATGTTAATTTGAGAAATGGGTAGTTAATTGTATCTCATCAACCATCAGCATTTTAATTCTTGGAGATGAGGAAGATTCTCCTCTCCATTATCAGTGGAGGAGCCACACCATCTTCAAAGTGCGCATTGTTGTTGCATTACTACTTTCTTTCATGAAATTTCATGAATGCCTTAGGTTTCCAGTGTTTTCACAGGTACTGATAATGAAGCAACAGTGTAAGAAGCTATGGATTGTGTCAGAGCTTGATGCGACAAGGGTTTCTTGTTTTAGTTTGGTTTTGGGTTTTTTTATTATTTTTTTCTAAAGGGGGAGGAAACGGAAGACTTGCTCTGACTTAAAACAAAAATATTATAGCATAGCCCTGGGTTATTTTGGAGTAGGATGCTGAAATTGCCACTAGTAGATGTACTCAGAATCAATTTACAGAAGGAGGATATAAATCATAACATATCAGCTTCAATAAAGCAGAGACAGGGCATACTCTGATTGCTTTAAGAAGCCTTCCAGCAACTGTATAGAAATATCTGGATTGTGGAACTGTTGAGAACTATTTGCTGCTTTCTTGCCTCTACGTTCATGTCAAGGAGACTCCATTACTGCTTTAGTCCTTGGCAAAATCTTCTAAGTAATCACAAGTATTTAAACAGAAGCATGATTTAACTACTTGATTGTGCTGTTGTCTGCAAAACTGGCCCCTGCTCTTGTGCCTGTCGTAAACAAACATGTCTACATAAGTTCACATTGAAAGGTGAGGTATGTGCACTTAAAATTTTTAATATATTTTTTTAAGATTCTATGCCCCTCTCAGCAATGTTACAATTTAAGATCAAAACTGGAGAAAGATGTCTCACTAACACTCAAGTCGCTCCTGCAATGAGTAATAGGTTAATTTAGATAGGAGGGGTGCAAACAGGAGAGATTGAGAGAGACCCATGTCAGAATAGGTAACACGATGGTTGTTTAGGTGTTTACATGGTCTTTGGGATATTGAAGTTCCTGCTTACGCTGTAAAGAAGGAAGGTTCATTGTTTGAAACTTTTTGGGGTTGGTTGGTTTGTTTTTAATTTGGTCTGATGTAGAATTGAAAAAAATTTCCTGGAATCTCAATTTGTTGTGAGATAGTAAAATTATTTCCTGCATGTCTTGGAACTTCCAGGAGTTATTTCATCATCTAGCTTGTGTTTGTGACTTGTGACTAACATCTTTCTGAAATTTACCTACAGGTATTAATACTACTTCTTTAATTACTAGTGGATCAAATTACATCTAGGAAAGAATGTTTTTTCAGGAACTAAATTATATGGGATAAATTATATCTTATCAACCTCCTTAAGATGATAAAGGAAAACAAACTTTTGCTTGTGCTTTGGAGAAAAAAACAAACCAACCTTTTAGTTTAATAGTACAAATTCAGTGGAACAACTATAGGTGTCTGTTTTGAGGACTCCAGTCAGAGAAGTTCCTAAGCTTTTCATTTTCTTTCTTGCCTTTTGCCATTAGTAGTTGAACACATACAGCAATTTTTGTGCCTCTTCCTTGAAGATAAAATGATAGTTCACTATTGAAAAGCCACAAAAGAGCTAATGAAGAGCACTCTTGCTTTGGAAAAGCAGGATAGATTAGGCTTTAAAAGAAGGCAGAAGGCATTGATAAATAGTAAAATGGCAAGGAAGAGTGTCTGGTACCATAGATGAGCATAACTCTTGGTTTGGAAACCTGTGTGTATGTCTTCCTGACCAAAGAATGAAATACCATGTATGCTTTTAACAGTCTTGGGAGGTATTGGCAGATGAACACATTGCGGTGTAAGAGCACATGCAGCGTAGGCAGTGGAGTGGAAGTTCACACCCTGGCTGACCTCAGGGTAACTTATTCACCTTTGCATAACACAGATTTGCTCGCTGAATAAGCATGGTGTAAGCAAGTGCTTTTCATGCTTTGCTGAATTGAGGACTTAATGTCTTTTTACTGGTATCTGACACTTAAAGAGAGTGAATTCTGGGAACTCTCAAGTATTTCATTCAGTTTGCATAAGAAAGCAATGGTTGATTTTTGGTTTTTGTTCTTTGAAGTGTTGTCTGCATTTGAGTTTTAATTTATACATCCTTGAGATGCTAGAAAGGCCAAAGGAAAGGTTTCTGAGAATGAACATTGAAAATTTTTTTTTTTTTAAGAGAAGGAGGGGCGGTAATTTCTTGTCTCTCAGATTTGTTGCTTGAGAACTTGTGACATGTCAGTTGACTGAGCAAGGGCTAGAGGAGAAGATACTAATCCACAACTACAGGAGGGTGTTAGCTGAATCCACTGAGGGAAAGCAATTTATTTCGCGTTGTAAATGGAGTGATAAAAGGGAATTATAAAAGGAAAAATCACTGTAAAGTTTAGTGAATCCTTTCTGCTAGCAGCCAGCCAAAAGGAATAGGAGAGTTCCACCATTTGTGGGTTTAGAGCTAGGATGGATAACAGTGCAGGAGGCAATAAATCCTGCTTTTTCATAAAGGTGAACCTTGATAATGAGCATTACAATGCTGTGTGGCTCTGAGGTGATGACAAAGCTGTTGGGGATGTAGAAATCTTTACCAAGGACTCCTAAATATGGTCCGTCATCTCAGAACCTTGCACGTGAATGCTGTTTTGATTTACTGTGCTTTGTCTCTATATGAAGACTCTGAAGTCAGAGGGAGTGCTGTAATTTTAAACTTCCTGCAGTGCTACCCTAAGTTCTTGCATTATGAGAACTAATACTGGTATTAGTGTTATTTTTGTTTTTTTTCTGAAACTATTATTAAGTGAGGAGCCAGTCTACAGCATGGCTTTTTAAAGCTGTATTAGTGCAGATCTTATTTTCCTGAAGTTGCGGCTATTTTCCCAGTGCTCATCTGTTACTCTTTTATTGGGTGCATGTTCCCCTTGGTACAGTGTGACTGTACCGACACTCTGCTTGCTTGTACACTCCGCAGGTTTGTTACAGCGCTTAGTATTCTGCAGGTAAACTCACTCTGCTGAAGCAGTTAGGGTTTTATGATAGGACTGAGAGCTAACACAGTCTCTTGGATTTTAGTAGCTGGCAAGCAGATGAAAATATGAGGGATCTTCACTTTGTTTCTGTCTTGCCTATAAAGTATGTTAGCCTCCAGATTATTTTGTAATGCTTTCCTATAATTATATGTACCTCTCTTTCCAGATTGAAATTGGAGGAGAGAAGAAAAGAGTTGGTACAGAAACTTGAAGAAACTACGAAGTTAACTACTTATTTGCATTCACAGCTTAGGAGGTGAGACTGTACTGCGTAATGTGAAACCTGTTTTCAGCAACAGTCCAGTGGACCTGGCTGTCTAAACTTCATTCCTAGGTTTTTCTCTTAGCTGGAAGCTGAACAAAAATTGTTTAATATTTAAGTAAGAAAATGCAAGTGTAACAGCTTCAAGCATTTTGCCATCATGCAAACCTGGTGTACCTTTATAATTTCAGTAAGCACTCAAGACTGGATTGAATGGATTTTTTGCACAGTTTTCATAATTAAGCAGGCAGACGTTATTTTGCTTCAGTGTAAATAAATAAATAAATTGGGAATTCTCTAATTGGTCATATCTTCAAAATCCTGTCATTGAGGAGACCAAATGGTTTCTCAGAGTTCTGTCTAAAGTGAGTTATTAGAACTGTAGCCTTTATTCTGTATAATAACTGGAGAGGCTTAATGAGTACATGTATGCATGTAAATACTTAGGTGAATAGTTGATTCTGGTTTTATTCTTCAACACTGACTTACACTTTCTGTAGACAGAAACGTATCCTCAGCAGGATATTTTCTTTCCTGACAGTCATTGATTCAAAGTCTGACTCTGGGTTTATGAAATTCATAGTGATAACAAAATATTAATCAGTTACAGCAACTGTTAATTCAAACTCATTGCACTGATGGGAATTCTAATATTTAATGATACATGTAACTGGTCCTAGGGAAGCGTTTCTCTCACTTCTGGCCTGTGCCCTGGGCTACCAAATCATGTGTCCATTACATTTATTTAGAAAATCCTGAATTTTCTTGCATATCCCAGTTGGATACACGAATCAGACACTGCATTAATGTTTACCTATTCTCTTAGAAATCAAAATGGGGCTTTAAGAGGAAAAACGTTTTTAAGCATTCTATAAAGGTTCTCTCACAGTAAGCCATACCATCCTATTCCTGGGATCTAGGCTGGCTTAGCAATTTCAAAATGTCTTAGCCAGATCCCATAAATTGCATTTTGATTGGTGATTAGTTAGGAAAAGAGTCTTTTAAATAATTTTTAAAAGTATTCTGTGCTTGTGTGTGTGTTTAGACTTTTGGGGGTCTCTTTGTCCTTTTAAAAGCAGTTTTCTAGGCCAGTGGCAAAATGTTTAAAGTTGATAGCTCTGTTTTTGTTCAGTAAACATCTTTCAAGTGTTTAGAAGGGGCTGCCTTGAATTATTTTTCCTGATGTTTTTTCCCAGCAGAGTCCTCCTGAGCCAAGGCAGTGACAGTTTCTCTAGCCTGGCAGGGCTCCTTATCTTCTACTATTAACAGGAGAAGATTGAATAGATTAGACTAGAGTAGACTATTTCAGTTGGAAGGGACCTACAACGATCATCTAGTTCAACTGCCTGAGCAATTCAGGGATTGCACGTTATGGGCTTTGCCATGCTTAAGTAGTTGGATTTACTGTGCATGTAGAGTGTTTATTGTCTTACAGATGTGAAGCAGTTCTGCTGTAAGTTGTCTCCTTCTAGCTGCCGTCTTTCCCAGGTGCTTGGGCAGAGGGCAGGCTGCATAAATTGCTCTAGAGGTGGTAGCACTCCTCTGCTGCCATAACTTCCTTCCTGGGGTTCCCTTTCCTGTCACATTGACCCTATGAGTGCCTACACCAGGGTGGAGTGAGTCTTTGTGGGAATATAGCAGCTGAGAAGGCTGCTGTTACTGCCGGACCAGTTTGTCAAATCTGCAAGCCTTCTGAAGAAAATGGGCTTTAGGAGCAGGCTGTAAGCTGGATAAATTGCCCTGATGGGCAATTGTTCAGGTTGGGCACATTAAACCCAGTATGAGTGCTTAAAAGAAATAATGCCCCAAGCAGCATTCAGTTGTGAATTGTTGTAGTGCAGCTCCAGTCAATCTTATCTCTCCTTGTACTGTTTTGTGCTGATTTAGTTTAGTAACATCAGTGTACGTGTTTGTGCTTTCTTTGCAGCCTCTCAGCTAGTACGTTATCTGTGTCTTCAGGGAGCAGTCTGGGATCTCTGGCATCCAGCCGGGGATCTCTGAACACATCGAGCAGAGGGTCGCTAAACTCGCTTAGCTCCACGGATCTCTACTATAACCAAGGCGATCAAATAACAGATTTGGACTATCAGTATAAACTTGACTTCATATTGCAAGAAAAAAGTGGTTACATTCCTTCAGGGCCTATCACTACTATTCATGAAAATGAAGTGGTCAGTTCCCATGGGAGACTGGGTTACAGTGACTCTCCTTCAGCTGCAGACCATCCCAAATTGACTGAACCTCCCAAATCTGTGACATCACTGTCTTCCAGATCCTCGTTGTCCTCCTTGTCCCCCCCAGGCTCACCTTTGGTTTTAGAAGCTGCATTTTCAGTGTCAGCTCAAAATTCCCCTCTACATCACCTCACTACGGACTTTGAAGACTGTGACCTTTCGGGTGATTTTGCAGGCATTAGTCTCTGTGAGAACCAAATATTGTTGGACTCTGAAGCCAGAGCAGGATCTCAGATTCCTACAAATGGTAAAGATCTTAATGAAGGCATTAGGCAGCCTCTGTCTTCTCTACATGAAGGAAATTCAGGTAATAAAAAAAGCTAATGTCAAATGTATATGTTACATGAAAATTTTGAACCAACTGCTGGCTCTTGAATGGGGAGGTTCCTCATGTAACTGAACAGTATCTTGATCAGCATACATTTGCCATGGTGGGCAGTCAGTAATTCTGAGGGACGTTACATAAGTTCTAGTTTTGGGTGCAGAGAGCTATGATCACCCCAATTCCATCTACATTTTTCAATAGCTATCTGAGAAGGAAAGTTCATGTATTGCAGACTCTGTTGTGAAAAAATTACAGAAAAACCTGAAGCTGGATCTTGAAGACACGAATGCATGGTGTTCCTAGGTATTGTCAGGATGTATGGGGATAGAGCAAAAATACCCTCTGCTGGTTTTTGGTAACTTGAAATCAGGTACTTTGTTTCTCACTGAAGAATAAATTACAAACTGACATCCTCAGTAAAAGAGATTTCTGGACTTAAGAGTTAGAATTTTTATGTGTGTATGTATATCTAGTTATTTGAACCTGCTGTCACTGAAAGATCTGCAGTTCATTTTTTTTTATGTGAGTCGAGAAAGACAAGTGACCATGTGCCATGTAAGTTACAGTGAGACTCTCCCCATTTTTAACATGGATTTCATAGCTTTTAGCTTTTTATCCATCTGAGTTAGAACAAAGCTCGTAAGCTAGTCCAGGCTCCCCCTACAGTCTGCGGGTAACTTCCAAAAGGATGAGTCATCTTATCCTAAAACATACTTCCCTTTAAGGAAGATGGAATTAATGACCCTGTAAGTTATGGAGGTGTCCTTAGTAACGAGTTAACTTTAACTTTGAGATGGCTGAATTAGGTGTAATGAATTCCACTTCTAGTCTGCAGTAAAAGCCATGCAACATACTTAGTTGTCTTATATTGTCAAAGCCTTTGGCAGTCAGAACTTCAAAAATCCCAGCTGTCAAGAATTGATGGCTTGTCCTCAGTCTTAGAGTGTTGACTTTGCTGCCTTTTGATAGGGTTGACAGTATGTTGTGCTTTCTCTGCACATTTATTGACTTTTTCTAGTGTCATTCTGTGTCACTGTCTTTAAGTATGTTGCAAACCATTTGTGTGTTTACGTTACACAGTGGCTCTGTTTTCCGAAGGAAGAACTGAAGGAGCCAGATTTCCCCTAGTGCTGAGCACTGGCAGCCCTATTTGAAACCTGATCAGCACCTAGCATACCCAGTGCCACATTTTTGGGCCTGAATTGATAGTGAAGCAGCTAACTAAGGAGTTCGGGCGTCAGAATTAATACAGCCTAGCTCTAGAAAGTGCATTGTCCAGATTTGTTGCCAAGCTTGAACCCTTGTGCCTGGAGTTTGCCAGTTTTTAATAAAAGTACCTGGACATATTGATACAGACATATTTTAATGAGAAAATTGCTTTTATTTCTCTTTCTCTTTGTAACATCTGTTGGTTAATTAGATTAGCTTAGTGCAGTACTGTAGTAATTTCAATATTGACCAGAGCAATGTGGCACCAGAAGATAAATGTATGGTATACATAGCACAAGCTGGGAGTCCCCCCTCTGTTCAACTTGTGCAGAAAGAAAAAAAAGAAATTGACTGATGTCCTTATGGTCTGAAACTGTGAAATGCAAAGTGGACAAACATGGAAAGGGTTTTTGGGGGGAGGGGGTCATTTTGTCCTTTGTCTTTTCAGTATAGTGGAACACAGTAGTTATTTTGCTGTAGAGCCATATTATAAAAGATGGAAAAAATAATTAATTTTCCTGCCTGTATTTCAGCAGCATATCCTTTCCAGATTAACAACAACTTTCAGTCTGTCTGTCTTTGCAATCTGGCTGCAACTCATCCAGTCTGAGAACTGAATTTAGGATGGTTTGGAATTTGGGAACACATAGGGCTATGAGGAATCAGAATTATTTTTTTTAAATTTATGTCTTTAGGTCATTATTTTCAGAGGCATCATGTGGTTGTCTAACATTTTTGAGCTTCTTTTGACAACCTGTTATTCTGGATAGTGTCAGGGTGTCTTTTACGTCTGTAAGTAGTTATGGTTTTAAAATATAAATTCATCCTGTGATTCTTCATACTGATACTTCCTCATGTAGGGTCATGTATATGATACAAGTTAACTTTAAATCTGTATTAAGACTGCCAAAACAAGCACTCAGATTTTGAAAAGCCAGATATTAATTAATTATGCTTCAGTACCTCTAGTGTCCACAGTAAAATAGGCCTCCTGGTGAGGCTTCAGTACATTAGCAGTGAGACATAGACCTGGGGTTGGTTCCGTGTTTCTACTCCAGTTTCATTCTTGGAACTGCTGCAATGCTGAACGGGAAGGTTTTCAACAAACTCAGACGGAGGCGTAAAACCTGCATGGAAAATTTCAGCTCGCTTATTTACAAGACTACAAATCAGAATACTGCTGAATCTTAATTTGGAGGTAGACAAACATACCTGAACGCAGTATAGGTAGTGTTTTCATGTAATAGTCTGCATTGGCTTTTTAGATGCAGTGCTCACCTGCTTCTCTGTCTGTCTCTGACTTTTCTGTACAGGTGAACCGTACAGGTATTTGCTCCTCTGCACATGTCCCTGCTGTCAGAAACCAAGTTGGAATATCATGTAGCTCTTCCACAGTCAGTCTCTGTCATTGTCAAAGTCAATTTAGGCTGCTGTGGTAATTCCTAAGGGTAATCAATAAATCATGTCATCACCTTCACCCCTCACGTGGTGGGGGGGGGAAGGGAAAGTGCACTTCTTCATCAAGGAAAAAGCATTCCTACTGCCATAAATAAAAGCACAAATGCAGCAATCAATCATCTAATCTGAAGCCTTAAATTTTAAACATCTTAAGAAGATGTAAAGTCATGATTCAGGTGGGGACGATAATGCATACCAATATCCCCACCCCTTGGCAGATAAAAGTACTGCATAGGCCCTCACCTTACTATGCTGCAGAACGTGGCTTTCCGTGAATGCTGCTGCTTCACTGCATGACACTAGCGTTATGAATGCGAGTTGAAGATTAAAGCTAAGTAGTAGTTGATAGTAAAGAGACCGTAGCATAAAAAGTTTTTGATGATAGTAAACCAGAGGGGATTTTTAATTTCTAGCGGTTATATCACTGGGGAGAGGGCATCTGTCTGACTTCTGAATATTTAATAAACAGTAGGCAATCACTTTGCATGTAGCTGAAATGTTACTACGGTGCAGAATGTGAACATGGCAAATACAGGTTTAAAGATCAGGATAATGAGGGTTAATAATGAAGATAATGAAGGATAATAACTAGCTCAACAGATACGGGTGATGATAGGAGCCTGTATCTCTGGGAAGGAATAATAGTTGTACATTTTCAAGTTCATCAGTTTGGTTATATCCCTAGCCAGAATATGTGGTAACAGCAGTACAGTCTCAGAATGTTTAATGATGTGGAACAAAACTACTCTGTGATACTCCCTTAAGGGTCACCACTTTCAACCTGACAACTTTCTAAGCTATGCGCTTCTCTCTTTCTGACTATTAATCTCTTGGACTAATTTTCATTCCCCTTTCTTTTTGTAGGTGTTGACTTACCACAAAGAACAGCTAGTCACCTGCTTCAGGAGAAAACAGCTTGTGTATCTGCTGCCGTGTCTGATGAGTCTGTAGCTGGAGATAGTGGTGTATATGAAGCTTCTGTGAAACGGTATGTTTGAGAAATAATGCAAGTCTCTCCACCAAAAATCTAAATATATCTATGTCGTGGTTTAACCTCAACCGGCAACTGAGCACCACGCATAAGCAGTTACGTAATATCAGCATAAGCAGTTTATTGGTCTTGCCTTTTTTTGTAAATATTTTGTCCTTTCATATTGAAAGGAAGGCACATTTGCCAAACAGTTAAGTTTGATTGCTTTTTTAAGCTAATAAATTTGCATTAGAGTGCTTGTATAACTTGGTTGAGTAGCATTAATATGCTACCTTCTGATCCTGTTTTTTTTTCTTGCTAGAAGTTTTCCTGGGAGAAACGCTGTTTTTAAACTATACATGTTCTGCCATGTGGCTGTATTGACTCTACTTTGCATAGCAAAGAATTGCATAGCATTTTGCTTGAACATTTTCTTTTATAAAAAAGAGGATATAGGAAAGATAAGAAAATCCTCAGTTGTAATGTTGGTATGAAAATAATCCAGGTTAGGGTATAATATTCATGCTTCACCGTGGTGAACAGGATACAAGAAATGTATTTGCTGTTGTTGCTTTTTGACAAGACATAACTTCTACAGGATTCTTCATACTGTTTTCTGGCAGTGAGAACAATGAACTTCAGACTGCATAACAGAAGACTATTGCAAACTATGAGAGAAACCAAAATCTTTATTTTTTTACCCCAGTTTTGGCAAGTTGTTGACATTAAGAATTTTTTGTCCTTTTGAATATTCAGAGAGATGTTTTAGCAGGATGGTTACAAAGATGTAGATGCATGTCTCCTGTTGCCAGGCTAAATGCTTTTCTATTAGGTAGGTAAAGGTGCATTATGGTATCATAAATGGGTTTTATTGGTCTCTGATAAAATTACTCCTACTTGTCAAGTTTTTCACAAATTAAAAGGTAATAAAATAGATGAGACCAAATAAAAAAGCTGAAATACAAAAGGGATTTCTCCTGAAGTGTTAGAATGGCCATTCAATCTCATCTTAGGTCATGGACCCATATTTCACCCTGAAGTCTGAATCCTAGTATTAGTTTCCTCCATGTGTTCAGTTAGACCTAATGCAACTTCTTAGGCTGAAATAAACTCCTATCTATTAAAAGCTTAGCCTTCACTTGACTGAGTGGCTGTGACTGTGTATTTTGGTTCAATAACCATTGTTGTCTTTTCATTTTGTTTCAATTCTGAGCCACTGTGATCAAAGCTTACTGTCTGCTCCAGTTATAAGTGCAGTGGATAGAAATGAGCAGACATTGGACCCAAAAGCTGTGGATGTGCTGTGGAGCAAGTCTTTAGCTGTCCTCTCCAATGACTGCAAGTGGTAGGATAGGTGGAAAACAGAACAAATTCCTGTCTTCTTCCTGTTGTTACTCAGGAAAAGAGGAAAGACGACAGCTGCATCCCCTAAGTCTATGTACAAAAGGAAACTGTTGCCATTTGTGCAAACTAAGATTTGCAGACACTAGTTATTCCGTGATGGCTCCAGGTGTGCATGCTCTTAATTCTTGCTGAATAGGAAGTAGTGAAGAGGTAATGAGTGTCTCTCTGTGAGATGCTTATGTTTAGTAGAAGTGTCTTTATGAGCATTGTGTATGCAATGACTTACAGTTTGTCAGTGTGCTCCTGAAGTTACAGTACATTGATTTCTGCTGTATAGACCCGTCCTTTGTATTGAGTAATTTGAGGCAGGGGAGGAAATAAATGCACTCTATCAAATTAGCCATCAGCCAGGAAATGAATAGTAAAAAGGAAACCTCTAAATGTACAGTCTTAAAATTAATGCTGTCATGTCTTGATAAGGTGTGGGATGTCTGTGTCATTCTCCACATTTCCTATCTTGACATCTTCTATCTTGATCTTGTTTATTGATCTCAACAGTCTAGTTTTAAAAATCAAACACACTAATACCACAGCCTCACTCAAACCTCCCAGAAAATGACTGGAAATTGTGTTGCCGTATGGATTCTCTGTAATTCCATTCAGTGCTGGAGTTGCTCTTCAGCTGCAAGACTTGAGTCCCTTTGGTTCTTTGAATGCTTCTGAAAACAGGCTCAGAGGAAAGATGCTTCTTGTTTGCACAGAAACCTCTCTATTTTACAGAGCTCCTGCTTTTCAAATATTCTCCAAAGCAGTATTTCATATCCAGTTTATGGGTGCTCTGACGTTTATCACAAATTTTAATTTCCAATTTTGTATTCAGGGGTATAAAGAAGTACTGAGTATGTATAGGTAAATGTCATGAGTTTTTCTCTTGCCTGTTAGTCTGGCCTGCTTCAGTAATCAGTGTAAGGCCTTTCTGACTCATTACTGGAGTTGTCAAACTGTTCACGCAGCGACTGTCCCTAAAACAGGCATTGCTGTTGTGTAGGCTCTGAAATTCTCATTTGGAGTGCATGCTGTAATTAAATCAGCCTGTTTAGGAGAATGTATATATGTTCTGTGTATGCATACCTTAATTACTGCTGAAAGCTAACTATAATTTTCCTAAATTTGAGTATTTGCCTGTTTGCCCTAGACCAAATGAAACTGAGGACATTGTATATAGTGAAGATGATGCAACAACTCTAGAGGCTGCCCAGGTACAAATAGGACTCAGGTAAGTGACCAGCAAAGGGAATATTTCTGTTCATACATAAATGCGAATAGTAAACTTCCCTCATGTTGTCCTTTCTTTAACAGATACGACCACAGCAATTCAAGTTTTGTGATAATCATAGTACGGCTCAGAAATCTTCCAGTGTTTTCTGTCCCCCTTCACTCTAAAGTGTAAGTCAAACAATCACTGAGCAGTAGTGTTGAAATATGAGAGTATAATAATAACTTGTTCAAATTCTCCAAAGGAGTGGATTGATTTACTGCTTAACAGCACTAAAATATGTATAAAACTTTTCAAACTGTAGTAGTACTTAGCTTTAACATATTCCAGCAATGCTGCAAGAAAAAGACGTTACCAGGAAATTTGCACGTTCCACTGAAGTGGGACAAAAAGCATTGTGGAACAAAATCACATTCTGTAGATTTGTGAGTGCAGAGCAGCTATTCTGTAGTTACTAAAAACATTCTTTTGATACTTTGCCATTCTTTCAGCTCAGAATGTTGTCTTTTTACTTTTATGTGGCATTTTGATGTAAAATGATGTTAAAATAGTATGTGTCTTTTAAGTGAGCTTTTAAAGGTAAGGGGTAATTTGATAAATTGCAAGTGGACAAGCACAGCCGCGTTGAGATACAGCTTCCCTAACAACTGGAGCTTGGAGGTCTGCTAAGAATTAGTTCTTGTATTGAATTGGACAGGAAAGATCTAAAAGTAATTACAGTGGAAATCATATGTAGGAAATGAACAAAAATGCCTGAATAAGAAAATGTTACCACTGAGATTCTAATCCAAAACTCTCATCTGTACAAATAAGAACAGCTTGCCTTGGCTCCTTGGGGACACTTGTACTTCAGTGAGCTTTTTTACAGACTGGAAAGCTATCTTAAACTGTTGAGAAGCTTAATAAGATTAGAGTAGAACATAATCAATCCTTGGAAAAATTGTTTTTCTTGCGGTTCCCTTCCCCCGTCCCCCATCACCTTGAGTTTAATTGGCAGATCAATATTCCACTGAATATGGAAAGGATGTATAGGGACACAGGCCTGGGTGCTTGTTGGATTTTTCTGTTTGGTTTTGTTTGTTTTTAATAACAAATGGTTGTCTGCTACCATCCTTCCTTCTCCGACCTCCATCTTTCCCCTGCTGACCTTCCAAGTCCACTAGCATTTAGTACAAGAATATAGAAAAACTAGAGAAGAATAAATTGACACAGCTGAGAGGAAAAGTAGATAATGTAGAATATAGAAAGAATGTCAACAAAATGTTCAGTAAGATAAAGTTAGGTCATAGCTGGCATCTTTTTAGGAATTAAAGTATGAAGTTGTAATTAGTAGTCAAGCGTCATTAGTGCAGAAGTCCAGACCTGCTGCTGCTGCTAAAAAGATCTAATGAAACTCAAGCTGCCCAAAACAAGGAGGAAGAAAGGACAGGGTAAAGGAAGGACCTTGCAAATAGCATTTTTTCTGTCACTTGCCATTGTGTGCATATATGTATATACTGTACAGATACGTACAATGATAAAAATTGGGTCTGGAAAATGATGCTATGTTATAACTGTATTTTCTAGAACATAAGATTGGATAGGTTAGTTCTTTATTGAACCTTTACATGCAGAGGAATAGATTTGACATGAGGTCTTACTGATACCTGTTTCCACGCTGTTTGTAAAAGCTGTTCACTTTTAGAGTAGGTAGAGCCTAGCTGAATACTTATTATTTGGGTCAGGATCATTTTTTTTATCAGTTGAGAAGTCATAGGTTTGTCACAGCAAAATCTGAGGCATTGGTTGACTTTTTAACTTTTTTAATTAAAATGAAAGTAAGCAGTCTTGTAAAACAAAACCAGTGAGCAATTTATCTTTTACTTCTCTGTTTACCCCTCATTCTGGCCTGATGCCAATGAATTGGCTAACAATTATTAAAAGAAAGCTCCAATGAACCACCTTTTAAACATACTTTTAATATACTTTATCTTCTATTCCTACCTCTTTTCAAAATGTTTCCTAATTGCTTAATCTATTAAAATGGCTGTTTTCAGTAGACCATGCAAATTGCTCACCTACATTACGTGAATACGGCAGCAGCATTACTGGAATTACATTACGCTACCACTTAACTTTGGGATTGGTTTGTCAAAATGCTGGATACCTGCTATCCAGTCTATACACATGAACCAAACAACTTAGATCTTACTCTATCCCAAGAAGCTTGGCATAACTGGGGAATAAAGGCTATGCCCAAATTCAAATAACAAAATCAAATTTCTCACAGACCTAATTTCTTTTGGTTTAATTAATGTGAAACTAAGTTTTTAATAATAATAACAGTATGTACAAAGTCATTACCAGAAAATATAGCAATAGTACTATAAATTTTGGGAGAAAAGTTTTTTCCAGAATAGTTTTCTTTGGCCCACTTTTTCTCCTTGCTTTAGCTAGCTTCATTGCATTCTATTCTACAGTGAATGTCAATTCTATTGAAAGCCAATACTAGAAATAGGCTAATGCATAGGCACAGAAAAGATGTAAAACAATTACTGTGCTCATTCATGTGTATGAGAAGCTGTGCAGTAGGTAAATAACATGTACAAATTGCATTAGGAATGTCTTTATCAAGCTACTGCTAAAGCAAGACCTGCAAGTTAGCAAGTATTACCTTTATCCACATAATATCCATTGATATTTGTTCTATAATGAATGCAGCTGCGTAACAATTTCAAGTTATTCCCCATGCTTAAGTTTAGGCTTGCAAGATGCATTCTTCTAAGTCTCACTTAATATATTATGAATTGATCTTAAGCAGCTATGGGCCCAGCTATTTTCTTCCTCATTTTCCTTAGTTTTCTGGTTTCTTTGGAGGTTTGGTTTTGTTTCTTTCTTTAAAAGATTAAAAGGCTTCACTGCTTTTCAGTGCTGCTCACATCGTTCTAAGAGTTTAATTTTTACATCCACCCAAATTTTTCTCATGTTTTTAGTTAACATTAAGATCATGTTTCCTCCCATCTGTGACATGATCCTCAGTGTTCACAGTACTAAACCAGAGGATAAATTTGGATAGAGACAGAAATAGCTACCTCTCTCGCTACTACCTTACGAGGCACAGAAATTCCTTTTTGGGCAATGTTTGTGCAAGGGGCAGGAGGAGTTTCTCACTCCTCTTTTTCACCTCTTTTCCCATTCCACCTCTGATTTGTTGTTGTTTCTTTTTTCTTGCTATGCAGTCCTTTAGTCGATGGGGTCAACTTCTATCATGCGTCAACCAGCAAGTGCTAGTTTAAATACAGGTAAAGATTTTGTTTTGTTTCCGGCAGGTATATTAGAGTAGCAGTACTTCCATCCTCAACTGATATCAGCTGTCTGTTCCGCACAAAAGTTCATCCTGCCATGGAAACCATTTTATTCAATGAGATATTCAGAGTAGCCATTTCCCAAGTAACACTGCTACAGAAGACGCTGAGAGTAGATGTTTGTGCTGTCAGTAGAAGTCGTCGGGAAGAATGCTTGGTATGCAGTTTTATTTCTGGCTTTTTTTGGCATGCATTTGTTTATAGCGTCCCCTCTTATTTTGATGGTCAAGGCTGCTAAAATTCCACAGTACTTAGAAACAAACTCTGAAGCATAACTTGGTTGTTGCTATAGTACTTAAAATACTACCTTTCTCTGAAATTCCTGATACAGAATCTAACCCTGGATGGAAGTTTTAGGAGGTGTGTTGATAATTCTAACACTGCATTACCTTAACCTTTTAATTACAGATTGATATTCCATCTTTGCAGTTTTATACATAAAAAACCCTCATAAACTTCATTGCACCATTACTCTAACACTAGATTTTAAAGTAAAAGCTAAATAAGAGCCACAGTATGTCCAAAAAAAAAAAAGCGAACCCTCATTATCGCAGCTTGTCACAAAGAACAAACTAAATTACATTTTTGCATGTTATTGTAGATTATATGATGTACACCTTTTTAGTCTTTATGATCTGTAGAAATAATAAAAAGCCATGACATTCATAGACCAGCCTATTGGAAACTGAAACTTTTAAAATTTTGTTGTTAATTGTGGTCATCGCCCAATTAGTGATGCTTCATTTACTTTCAGATTGTTTTTGCATGGTCTGGTACAACTCAGTTTGGTTTTTCACCATGACTTAGTACCACAGTGAGATTCTCAGTTACAACACGCTGTAAGAGATGCTGGAATCTGGTGGAGTTCATCAGCCCCGACTACTGGGAACAGCCTCTCACTTTCAAAAACATAGAAGTTAACTTAATTCCTGGAAAATGCGTTGGCCTTTTTCAGTGTGTAAGAGGCTTCCCTTCAGGTAAGGGAAGGGCAGCAGAACAAAAATGCAACAGAATGCAGGATACAAAGGTGAAGAAAAAAACCCAACAACAACAAAAACCCACCAAAAACATAAGGGTTAATCTCAAGATCAAAAGAAAGAGTTGGGAGTACCACCCCCAGCAGAAAGACCCGGGCAACGTGACCAGAGTTTTGGCAAGAGCTATGTATGCAGCCCAGTAGCTGTGAAGTTGATTTGCTTTGCCAAAGAACAAAGGACTTTAATCTCCAAGGCACAGCCCAAACACAAGTACTTCATAAGTTTCCCCAGAGTGCCAACTCAGTGGATGTCACTGCTTGTCCAAATGAAAGGGTTTCTTAATCTCTTTTACTGTCTTTTCATCTGCTTCTTCACTCGTTAGAGCAAACAAGGTCATCCGTTATTGTTTGCTGTATTGATGATTTTTGTGGTGGAACAACTGAAAAATTGACTGAAACTTGCTGCTCCATGGATTGATGCTGCAGGTTTCACTGACAGAGTTTTTCATTATTGAACGCTATAGAAAGCAGACGTGTGCATTACGGTGATATAGAGGGTTTTATGTGTGTGCATGTGGGGAGAAATTCTGCAGACGGAAATAAAAAGATGGCAAAATGGACAACATGAAGGACCTTTCCATGTACTTCTATTTGTTTAAGTAGAAGTGGAGGGAAATAGAAAACTGTGCGGTTAAAAAGGGAATTAAGAGTCATGTCAAATTTGTGCTGCCTATTTCACATGATAAATACTGTAGAATTTATTTTCAGCTGTCTTCCAGGAAAAAAAAAACAAATTTAAACAATTTTCTTCCCCTTTCTTATTTTGTGCAGGCTGGGACTCAGATCAGTCTGGCAGATTTATTGTTTTCTGATGAGACTTGTACTCCGTGGTACAACCTGTTGCCTTGCAAGCAAATTCCTGGCAAAAAAAACAAGGAACAAAACGAAGAATCCATGTTTCTGTTAAGCAAGCAGTCATCGGACTCATTGGACTTGGTGAGCAATGTGTTGGCTGTTACTGTAATAGCAAGAGAAAAGCCATAGACTCTAATTGTGCTGTTGCATAGTGGTTACTTGAATACGTGAATTGTCGTCCCCTGGAGGTCCAAGGCCCTGTTGTCTTGCAGGCACTTTTGTCAATAGTGACTTTGTGCGTGAGTAGGTCCTATATGGGGTTTCAGACTTGTTAGCAAGTGTGGATAGGGCTGGTGCTTCTTAGTGGGATACAAAATTGCACGCCAGTTTGAAACACTTCAGTTGTGTTTCATTTTAAAAAGAATATTATTGAAGAGCTTCCTTAAGTTTACCATTGACTTTTCATATGTGCACGTTTAAAAATTGGTATTTATTAATTATATGAATTTGCATACTTAAAGCCATTGCACTGAAAATGCTGTTTATGCAAAACATATACTAATTCTTCTGGTTAAATAAGCTTTTCTGCTTTAATATCTCCTTAAGAGAACTACATTAAAAAATGTAACTTTTAAGAACCACCTTTTTTTACCTAGGGTTATTACATGTATGAGAGGGAAAGGGAGATGAGACATTAAAGGATGACAGGAGCATATTTGATTGCATTAACCTTTTTTCAAACAATCTATTTTTGACTGAGATTTACTCTGTATAAAAGCAATCAGTTAACGTGCTACACACTGACAATTCAACCCCCTTATACTTATGATCTGAGTCATGTTTTTGCTGGCATCAGGGAGCAGCAGGGTAACGCAGCTCTTGCAAGAGTTGTCATGTTTTTACCTATGTTATGTATCACTCAGTTCTGGTTTCATCTTCTCTTTCCTTGTGAGGAGGATGCTGTGTCAGCTCTGCTGGAGAGGACATCTGCTGAGCTGGAAGCAGTAGAACAAGAGCTGGCTGAAGACGACGATGAGGAGGAGGAGGAACAGGAGCAAAGGGGCTCTGAGGAAGACTGGTAAAGCCAGCCACTTTTTCTCCCTCACTGCTCATGCCTGAATGATTCTGCTCATTCCTCTTATTCTTAGACAAATGAAAGGGCTGTACTTTTGGAGGAGATCATAGAGTAGTTTGGGTTGGAATGGACCTCTAAAGATTATCTAGTACAGCCCCCCTGCCATGGGCAGGAACATCTTTCACTGGGCCAGGTTGCTCAAAGCCCCATCCAACCTGACCTTGAACGCTTCCAATGATGGGGCATCCACAACTTCTCTGGGCAACCTGTTACAGTGTCTCACCACCACTGGAAATGGGGTAAAGTCTCATTCTCTTTTGTGGTCAATTCATTCACCGTCTTTCAGGTTTACAGTGTCTTGGCTGCTCTGTTAACTCCTACTGCTGATGCTCCTCCATTCCATGTACATCTTCCTGTGAAACCACCTGGGGAGTCTAAGCCACTGGAGGTGTACTAGAATGTCTCATATCAAATATTAGTTGCATTAACTATAATAAACAACTAGTAGGATTTGAAAAGAGAGCTGCTGTCTGACAAAGTCAGTGTGTGTGTGTGTGCGCGCTTCCATTGATGGTCTTGTTTTTGAAGAAGTTGTGAGCTTTCCCAAGAAACAGATTTCTTGCAAATTTGCTATGTTGAGTTCTGTTCCTGTGCAATTTCTTAGCTGCAGTGTAGAAATAAATACACGCTGTATTGTGGGGGAAGGGGAGACTCGCTCATTTGATTTATTAATTTATTGCAACGAAAATCCTTCAACGTTATCAACTTACAGCTATTGAATGTAGCGCGGTGTTGTCATAATGATCTTGAAGGTGAACTGTAGTAGAGCTTGCTGGGTTTTATTGGAGTATATAATGAAATTTGCCTTCACGTTAAATTAATGGAAGTATTTGGGCGATACTCTTGTTTTCCCTGTCAGGAAAATGCATACATTATACATGGGTGAACACCTAGGCCTTCTGATACCTTTCTCTGGTGGTCTTTTTCAGTTTGAGAATAAGCCTGGGCTACTTCCGTTCGTACAGGTTAGAAATGCTCGCAGAAGCCTCTGATGAAATTGTGGATGAAGAGGAGGACGGCATTAAGCTGGCAGTAGAAGGCAACTGTACTGATGACATGGGGTTGCTCATTGATTCACCAGAAACAAATGAAGACAAGGACAGAGAGAACAGTGATGAGGCTCGTGAAAGCCAGGAAGCTGTAATACTAACACTGGTGAATATCTGAAAATATGCATTCCTACAGTATCTTACTGTGTCTGAAGATCTATTTCTGAGCAGTTAACGTAGAAGTCTGCTGCATCTGAGCATTTACAACTTGATGTGGCCTTTGCTGTAGCGCTTGTCAGTGTGTACTTTTAACGAAATTGGTGTGGTCACTTCTGAACTATGAAGAGGGCATTTAACAGACATGCTAGGCAGAACTTTAGAGTCAAAGACAATTAACTAAAAATGTCTGTCTTCACTTTTTTTGTTGCATAGGGAGAATAGTCAAAATACAAGTGCAGTTCAGTAGCTTCAACTTGTGCATATTTAAAATATTTCTGCACATCTGTTTCATTGTTTTCTTTTTTTTTCTGATTCATTTGATAAACAGCGGGAAAGAGAACAGGGGTCGAGATCTTTAAACCAATGAGGGGATGTCCTTATTTCTTCCCTTTATTTTAGGGTGTAAATACAAAAACTGGCTTAGCAGAGAAGAGGAGGAAAGATTAATGAACAGAAAACTCAAAAATGTGTATTAAACTGTGTACTATTGAACTATCCCCACACTGCACGTAACAAATTCTAATTCCATGTTCTTGTTAACTGTTCACTTTAAATTATATTCCACCTTTCTGAAAGCACTTTTAGTAAATCTTTAGTAAACATATGCCTGATGTGGTAGCACGTACTCTAGAAATAAAATTTTTAGAACACCTTTCTGCATCTTAATGAAAACACTGTTGCACGCATTAAGCTCACAGGTTCTGTAAAATAGCAAAGGTAAAAAGGCAAAGAATGAAATCTTGCTCCTTCAAGTTTATGACAATACAGAAGTTCAACACCTCAGTGGACTTGCTGGAAACTGTGATTACCTTCCAATTTATGTGGCAAGATGCCAAATGAGCTAAGGCCATGGTATTAAAAGGACTAACAGTCTGCTGGGTAGCAAGCAAATACAGATCAAAGCCCTAACTCGGCAAGGGGAGACATCAAGGGCAACATCTGAAGGTTAGGCGCACTCACAAGTGTTTTGCTCAGCCTGGGCTGGACGGACCTGGACAGTGAATGAAGAACATAGCAGACCTCATAGTAAAGCCAGCCACAGAGTAGATCTTCATGTGCCAGATCCTCTCAGGGTTGCAGTTGTGTGATTTAGGTCATTGTATTTATCACATGCACATTGAAAACCACGAACCTCATTAAATTACCTGAGTTGAAGGAAATGCCCCAGTGCACATCAGTAACACCCGATGTGCCAGCTGCTGCAGTGCTTGTTCTAGCCAGGCTGTCAAGATGATTGCTGCAGGTAAGCACGGGCTGCGCCACCTATGGGGATGTTGGCACCTGAGGCTCCCTGTGGCACGTGTGGGGCAACTGTAGTAGGCAGCAGGCCCTTCTGAGGGAGAGCAGCTAGCAGTGTCTTTTCCCTGGGTTCACGAGGCTGGTGCAACTCTGCAGATTGCCATAAAGCAACCCCGCTGCTGGGGTTTGGGGGACATACGACAGTATGTCTGGAAGAACCTGGGCAATGTAACTTTCCCAGCTGCCCGTTTCAGCGTGCATATGCACCGTCTTTAGCATGGCAGAACCTTGCTGTTCTGCAAATGCAGAACAAATACGTATAAATATAAATGCGCGATGATAATAATAATAATGTCTGCAAATGGCACAGCAAAACACTTGTTGCGCCATGGTTGCATCAGACCCAGGGCAGCAAAGGCCTTTCTGCAAAAGCTTTGGTTTTGCTGGATACAAGGAGTACCTTCAAAGACTCCCCACACACTGTTAAGCATTTTGGGAATTTTGTGTTTCTTTACTTAGCATAGCTTCTCTGTATGTGCAAGATGCTTTTCGCTGCTGGTCTTTTTCCATATGCCTCAAGGTAACAAGAACGCTTGTAAAATCGAAAGGCACAAAAACTATGTAGTGGCATGTGTCTGGATATAGCAGTTCTTACAAACTAAATTCCTTTTCATAGGTTGATAAAGAGACTAACACTGAGGAATCGGTTAATGAGAACGCAACGGTCCGACCCAAGGACAGAGCCAGCTGGAGCTCAAGACAGCGTCCTTTTGTCAGGAACAGCATGATAGTGCGCTCACAAACCTTCTCTCCAGGCGAGCGGAACCAATACATCTGTAGGGTAAGAGGAAAAACACTTGGAGTGAAGAGCTATTAGCTAGAGAGTCACTTAACTTCTTGGGAATGATGCATTAATGACAGTGAGTCATGTACCAATTTTCCCTGCAAGAGGCAGAGCCTGTGCTTTCTTTAGAT